ACCAAGAAAATTTTTTAAGCAAAGGTAAAAAAAGAAGAAAAAATAATCCATTCAGTTTAAAAAATAGGGAGCCCCTACAAAAGTTCCATCCGTGAAAAAAAAGAAAGAAATTAGAAACTGGATAACACACTAAGTTCAATACAGATCAATCTCGCTGCCTACAGTCTTTTGTCTTCAATCTTAACTTAACTTAAAAAATTTTCTTGGTTAGTCTCTTCCTCTAATAATAAAATTTCCTCACAAATTAGACACACTTTCTTTTTCCACTTTCTTCCCGTTCCGGAGCTGTCTCAAGTTCAGCAGCTTCATTAGCTGCGTTTCTGTCACCGGAAAAAAAGGCTGTTCCTGGATCTTTCAGGGACTTTGCGGTGTCCCTGAGATCAACAGGAGATGTCCTTCTCAATCACCGTCTCTGCGGGACGGTTTAAGTACGAATGGACCATCCAGCAGCAGGAATTCGAGTGCGATTCGGAACACCAAGATCTCATGTCGTGCCATCACGACGTCAGCTCTCTTCTCCACAGTGTATTACTCCTTATAGACCCTCTCAAGAAATGCTATTTCTTCTATCTTAAATAGTTCTAGGACTCAGATTCATGGGTCTACTTTTAATTTAAACCAATTTTATCAAATAAGTAGAGGTACTATAAACTAAAGATTAGCATTTGATTTCAGCCTATGTATTGTGCAATTCATTTATTATTTGTATTTCATTGATCAATTAATCAGTTATTGGTTGACACGTCCAACTTTTCATTCATGTATCTTCTTTTTGTTTACAGAATGGATGTTTGTGGGCTTGGTGATCCTGGGGTTTTTCCTTTTCTTTCTCCTAGTCGGCATTTGCTGGTGCCAATGCTGCCCTCATAACTGCTGCTGTTACATTCGTTGCCCTTTCTGTCCAGAGACCTGCTGCTGTCCACGAGCATGTGAGTAACTGTATACAATGCAGATCAAAGTGTAAACAAATATTTCATCAAGATACATTGTCTATCTGTCTATATAAAGTATGTTTCTTTATATAAAGAAAAATTATGTGCTAAGAACTGTGGTGGCACAGTGGTTAGAATACAGTACTGCAGGCTACTTCTGCTGCTCTCACTGGCTCAAGGTTGACTCAGCCTTCCATCTTTCCGAGGTTGATAAAACCCAGATTGTTGTGACAATATGCTGATTCTGTAAACTGCTTAGAGAGGGCTGTAAAGCACTGTGAAGTGGTATATAAGTGCTATTGCTATTCATCGGATTGAAAACTATAGTTAGGGTACATACAGTATAAAAATCAATATAAAAAGTTAAAACTTAAATTATCTGGTCATGAAGAGGACTAAATTTCATATAAATGTTATTCATGGGATAGCAACAAAATATTCCCAGGCTAGGTGAAACCATGTTTAACCAGATACATGTAACTACTGGAGGTTGAATAAAATTGAACTACTTTGTTCTATGACATTTTAGAACACTGTTCCTCAACTTTAGTTACTTTAAGGTGAAAGCCTACGCATCTTAAAGTTGCTGAGATTGGAAACATTGCTTTATTTTTGTACTATTGTTCCCATAATCTCTTGCCTTTGGCTGGATTTATTAATGAAGAGCCAAGGTGGCGCAGTGGTTAAATGCAGCACTGCAGGCTACTGCTAGATCAGCAGGTCAGCGGTTCAAATCTCACCGGCTCAGGGTTGACNATCAGTGTCTAAAACATCAAAGATACAATTTGGATAATCATCATACTAGAAGTTTTTTATGAAGTTTGATTATTATTCAGTAATTGACCCAAGTACTTTCCTTGCTATATCCTTTCTGATTATGAAAGTCAGTAATTGACCCAAGTACTTTCCTTGCTATATCCTTTCTGATTATGAAAGCAAAACTCTCTGTCCTCTCCGCCAACCCCGTTCTCTAGTTTTAATTGTCCGGAAGCAATATTTTCTTTAATTGGAAGTGATATACAAACAAAAATTGCACACATGTACAGCTGAATTATACTTTTCAGCTGTCCTGAATCAGTGTCCTTCCTCTAAAACCAGGACCTCTAAAAATATTTACAACAAAATGGAATTTTAGGATTAGCTACTTTTAAAAAGTATTTCTTGATAATCATGGGTGTGGAACCAATAGTGAATTACATAACCCCCTTCAAAAGATATTTACTTCTTCATGTGACTGCTAGTTCAACATGCATTGATAAGTACAAAAGAACAACTGAATGATAGGAACAGTCTTGGTCAATGATTTTCAACATTTTCTTAACCATAGGCCATGGGCTTTGGATCACCAAGACTTAAGATTTAAATCATAACATTTCTTCAAGCCTTTGTGGAGCCCCTGTAATAACATCATGGCCCCCAATGGTCTGCGGACCACATGTTAAGTACCATTGGTCTTGGTAATTACTACACACTGATTTGAATCAAATGTTTTTAAACAGTGATTCCAAACTAATGTCTTGATCATGATGTATTTGATTTTAATTTGATGCCTGACTACAAACTGATTTTGAGTGATAATTCTAAAGCTTATGTTTATGATATCATAATTCCCAATTTTTATAAATTGTAATCAATTATATCCAGAGGGCCTCATTATTAAGAACATCAGAGTTCTATTCTGAAAATTCTAGCAACTCTACATTTGCTGATCCTTTCCTTGATTTTGCATTATTTCCTCTTCGAGAAATAAACCTATGGAAATATCATGTAGTCACAGCTGTTATAGTTTGAATATATCATTTTTAATTGATAAAAATGCTTCCATTTTCTCATATCACATTTCTAGCAGCTTCGGAACATTCCCTACCCTAATCAATGTGTGTTCTTTTGTCCTTTCCATATATTTTTGGTTCACGTGTTGCTCATCCCTGTGGGAGGAAAGTTGGCCTTCAATTAGCAAGCATTCATGACAAGCTTGTGTGTTATCTCCTCCTTCTGTTGCTGTGGAAACCACCGGTATTAAAAAGAATGGCTGGGTCAGCTGTAGAGTTTTTCAGCAGCCTACTTAACAGTGGTTATTAAAAATGAGGATCAGGGGAGGAGAATTACACACCGGTAGGGAGAAGGGTTATCACTGAATTAATTCAGTGCATAGGAAAAAAATATATAATTGTGGCAGAATTACTTAGGTTTTATTTTAAAACAGGTTGGATATTGGGAGTTCTGACACATTCAAATCTTCTAGCAGTTTCAGATTTAGACCTCACTTTTCTACCCAGCCCTTTGCTGAAATGGTTAATAAAAAGAGAGCTTTAGTGAATTCCATTGCAGATTTTATTTCTCAGAACAGTGGTGAGCAGAAGGGGAGGGTGAGAAGAAATCTGTGAAACCAGTAAAGAAAATAGTTTTTCAGAAGGTGTGTACAGTGTCTGAAGAACATTGTATTTTTGGAAGCCAGCTATTAATTCACTCTTGGGAGTGGAACATCCAGGATCATTCCTGGCAGTCCTGACTATAGTAATATGGTTGTTTTCTAAGACTTGACAAAACATGTATAGATAATATTATTTTGTTTTATACCGATCCCAGTTTAGGAGTATTCAGAATGATAAATTTCCAGATCTTGATATATTTTGCATCAATTTTATTGCATTCTTCATTTTCTGTTGGTCTTTGCTGCTATTTCAAAAAATTTCAAAAAATCCTGTTAACAATCCATTTTTGTATTTAACTTATAGAAAATTTATCACAGCTTCTTATCTATCTCAAAGCATCCCAGCTGTTAACTCTGATTAGTCCTGGATCAAATATCCTTGTTTTCTTCTAAATAGTATTTCTTATCAATTGGTTAAATGTGATAAATCCATTCTCCAAAATCCATCTATCTCCCAAAAAAATCCAGATGAAATTGTTTTCCAGTTGAATATTTCCCTCAGTCTTAAGGAAAACCAATTTATAATTTATCCATTCAGTCAGTTCTAAGTTTGTAAGGTCCATATTTCTTTCAGTTTCAAATTCCACTGAATTTGCCAATTTCAAACCAAGTTCCTTTTGTAAATCTGGTTTAACTATAGTTACTTGCATCTGGGCATTTTTTGTAGCATTATTATTTTGTCAAACTTTTAAAAAAAGTTTTCAAATTGGGTTTGTATGTTAAAAAGCAGTCTTTTCGAAAATGCCAGCCAGAGTGCCTTCTCTATAAACTGATACATTATTTGCTCTCTTGTAGTTTAGCAACCCAAGATAAGAAAGCTCTTCAAGGACAGAGAACAAAGAATGGTTAAGTGATATTCCTCACAATAAATAATATATAGAGAAACAGAGAGGATATTTTTTGGACATTTCAATCCAAAATTAAAAGAAAAAAATTAAAAAATAAGGTCCAAACTTTTGCAAATTAATAAAAGGGCCGTTTTTTGCCCTCTGGAGGCCTCCGGAGGGAGAAAGATGGTTCTACAGGCAACCCGGAAGTTTGGGAACTTCCGGGAAGCCTCCAGAGGGCAGAAAATGGCCAAAAATGAAAGCCAAAATCAGCCAGACAGCGTGCACATGCATGCTGGAGCTGACAGGACAACGCCTTGAGTGCCCTAAAAAATGGCTCCATGTGCCATAGGTTCACCATCACGGTGCTATAACTTCCTTACATAAATTGAATAATTATTCAAAACAGCAAAGTAGATCAAAAAAGAGAGAGAGAGAGAGAGAGAGACAGAGAAAACAGATAAAGTGTAGCAGGGGATTAAAATAGGTCAGCATTCAACCAGTCTATTAACTTAGAGATAAAAAGCAAAGTTAAAAATGAAACTTCAAGTAGTGAAACCCCAGTCTTGTTTTAAAAAATGATCAGCCAAGAAGAAAAAATGGGTACCTGACTTTCTGGCCTCTCATACTGGGAATTGCAATCTTCAAGATTCCTCTTCCCAGGTTGGGTCTATGGTCATCCAAAAGTCATCGGGTCATTCCTAAGTGCTTCTATTGAAACTCAGGGAGCAGCAGTGCCAAACAGCCAACTTGGCAGCAAAATCAGTAGCTCATCAGCAGGAGAGAAAAATCCTCTTAATGTTTAGCAACCATCTTATGGAAGGGTTCTATAAAGGAAAATCTTGATATGGTAAAAGAGCAATTACTGTATTCCCACCTGCATTCTTGCGCTGATGACAACCTGATTAAGGCCAAATGAAGTTGCCTCTTAGTTAAGATAAAGCATATGATGTTAAAATCTACCTAAGTGGTGACATTTTGCCATTATAACTTAATGAAATAAAGCATAAAGTTATCCATGCTGGAACAAATATAAAATGCAGAACAGAACGACAATATTCATACATACAGTAAGTTCAACTTCATATGGATTGTGGGTAACTTTTGAAAATCTTAGGTAACGTATCAATATGTAATGGTCAAGAAAACACAAGAGTATCTGTCAAATCCTTATGGTATCAGCTAGCATATGGAATGATGACCTAATGAACTTGTTACAATATTTAAAACAGCATTTCATAACACATGCTTATGTCATGAGAAACAAAGCAGAGATGATCAATAGGCTAAAAGACAATATATAGGCTTTATACCATGCAGTTCTATAAGCTTAATGTTGAGACAAAGAATGGGAAGTGATTTTCCTGCACTAACTTCCTTCTTTCCATTCCTCCTGTCTTTTCTAGGCAGGACAGGGATGCTTGCTGGTCTCTTACCCAGATTTGCTGTGGATATTATGTCAGGTACTCTGCTATCTAACACTTTCTGTTCTTCTGTTTTCTACTGTACTTTGTGAATTTATTCCCTGCTTTTCCTTGTAGCCTTATTGAAGCCTTACCTCTTCAATAACTTTTTTCAATTTAAGGAGAGTAGGGGGAAGTGGTAAGGTTTTTAAAGTCAAGATGAGATGTAAAAAGAGTGTTTTATTGATTTATTAATTAGATTTATATCTTGCTTTCTCTCCCAATAACTCAGAGGCTAGGATTGTATAAATAAATATGGTTACTTCATGGGAAGTATGTTTATGTTCTAAATACTACTTGAAGTATACAAACTTTCTTCTTCAAATTATTAGTATAATTGATATAATTCAGGCAAATATTAAGATCAAGGTTGAGTGAATTTGAAATACTAGGGATGTATGCATGTCAACCCCAAGCCTCATTTCATAGGTTACTATTTGTTTCACACCATGTTCAGTAAGCAAGCTTACATTATTTAGAGATCAAATTTATTGTATTCTTAAAACAATGTTCCCATTTAAAACTTTAAAAAACAGAAATTATTTTCATGAGTGTGTTGTATGGGTCTACTTTCTTTGCGTCATCATCTTCCCTGTTTTAGCCCTCTTATTCCCCCCCCCCCAAAGATCCTGGCAATATAAAGACTGGCCATTCTTTATCTCACGCTATATTCAGAGCAGATTTTATGAGTATGGTTTTTTTTGAGATGTATTGGTTTTCATTCTTAACAAGAATAATGGCTGCCTGGTCATTTGATTTAAATACCAGCATTTATTAACAGCACCATATTAGGGAATTTTGATTCCATTACTAGCCTTTTCTACCTAGCCTACTGTACCAGTTTACAACATTTGGATGTATATATTCTAGTATAAACATACATTAATAAAGAATTGTTAAATTGTTTCTTGGTCTTTTTAAAAAAAAATATACTTAAAAATCTAACAGTTCTTTTTCAACACCACAGGCTTCTTTGTAAATCCAATAAAGTCACAATGTTGGTTATATAAAATAGTCATTATTTTAGCTTGTATTCAAATTAAGGATAGCTTCTTTTCTATTGACATTTAGAAAGACCATGAAACTATATTTGATCTGTTGAGGTACCGAACAACAAGGGAATAGCTGGCCAGGGAATGACTAGTTTCAAAATTAATTATTGATAAAAGAGAATATTGTACCTCTGGATTGAGCTGTAGGATCTCTGGTGCTCTTGATAGTTTTCTTGCAGTCGTTTCATTACCTAGTAACTGAGGATCTTATCTAGTTTGGTGACAATGTTACCCAGTTTGTTAATGAAACAACTGCAAGGATAAAAACAAGATGGTATCAAAGAGCATCCAGACCACACACATTGATTATTACTGTAAGATAGCATTTATTATGAGTTTTTATGATTTGTCAACTTTATGATGTTTAAATTATTGCATATTATATTACACTGTTTTTATTATGTCATTATTATAAAATTAATTATTTTATTTATTATTGCATTGTTTAATGTATTTCAAAATAATTCATACTTTAACTTACGTTATGTTCTAGATGGAAATCCTCACACCTCTCCATGCTCAATTTGTTTTAGCTGTTCATTCAGCTAACAAATTCAAATTTCCACAACAGAACAAATACCCATTTGAAATGAGCAAAGAGAGGTCTGCTCTTTCCATCAGCTTATCTTTGGTTATCACTAGTGCTTCTATCAAGATTTCTCTCCTTATCTCCGTC